GGACACTTGAATCAAGGAGTACCTGATCGGTTTGTTCTTTGAGGAACAACGTCTCTTTGAATCTACTTTGACATCAACATCAAGGATAAAACTGGAGGACTGAGCACCCACCTGCTCATGAGTCTGAGGAGAGGTCAGCTAAGTCTTCTCCCTCTCCTTCACCCTTTTTTGGAAGTATAGCTTGGCCTTGTAAGCCTGGTTTCCCAGCCACCTGCTTCTCAGCTTCTCAGGATCAAGTTATTTCTTGCCTGATGAACTAGTTCTGGGACTGGCAAGGACTTCTCTCCACACATTTGAGACAATCCTGTCATCAGAAAATACTTGTCCCATGGGCTTTGTTCTGGAACTCTAGAACAGGTAGTGTCTCCTACATGGCAAGATCATTCCCAGGGCAGCTCTTCTGATGTGGACACCATTGGACAACAATGAGGTACTGTTGTGCCTTTACCATCTACGAGGAACAAGAGTTCTTATTGTGATAGAGAGATAGTTTGGATCCTGACTTGATTGAAACTTTGTCCTGTTTGGTCTGTTCCCTTCAAAGACAATCTTTGGGAGGCCAGTTGTTCCCAACTGGTTTATTCTGGAAATGGTGGTGGTGGGGGAATGCATTCCAGACCCTGTGCTGCAAGTGGGGGGACTTTGAAAGAGGGACACATAATACCCTAGGCCATCTACATGCTAGTGAAGCTAGTTTTCTGTTGCAAGAATTCTCTGACATGCATAGAATGTTTTAATGAGTCTGAGGGATCCATTCGTCTGGGTCTAGGCCTTCCCTGCCCAGTGGATTCACATGTTTTATAAGAAGGCTCTTCTGGCAATATTTTTGTTTTGCCTTTACTCAGACCAATGTTTTTCACCACCTTGATAAGACTCTTAATAGTTGCTTCATGGATTCTGATGCCTCATTGGATCTGGGGAATCAGGAGCATCTCTGGTCTTGCAGGTTTTCCCATAGGGCTCTCTCCAGGGACACTTGTTCTTCTTACAGACAGTTATAAATTTGGCATTATTGGATCTGTATGTCCTTTTGCACATTTTCATGAGGGGATCTACCTTCTATATCTTGCCCGATCCTTTTTTAGGAAGCTTCCATGTACCCTACCTGATTGGTTATGCTGACTCTGTGCAATCGAACCTTGGTTCTCAAAGGGGGTTAGGGACCACTGTTACTCTTCTTGTTGTTTCTTCTGACAAAGTAATTCTTAGGGGCCTTCTTGGGTAGTCCCCGCTTTGGCAATGTGGATATATTGGCAGTCCATACAGACATGTGCCCTCTTTTTTCTCTTGGCTCTCTATGACTTCCTGTGTCCCTCAATTGACCAGAATGAAAATTGGAATTTTGTACACCGTAAAATCCTTTTCTTGGAGTCCATTGTAGGAGACAGATTCCACCCCACTGTATTTATGATCAATGCTTCCCACAAAGGGAGCCACACTGGGAATATGCAGGGGTTATCCTGTGCTAGCCTTCAGATTTTCTTTTTTGCTATTTCTCAATCCCCCTGTAGCCGGCAGTATAACCTGAAAGTATATGACTTCCTGTGTCTCTCAATAGTATCCAAGAAAATGATTTTACAGTGAGTACAAGAAAACTATTTTTAGTAATAATCATGAAATTAAACATCATGCGAGCTTGGGTGAGAGCAGAATTAGTCTATGAAGGTACAGAGTGAGTACCATACAGGTGAAACTCGATAAATTAGAATATCGTGCAAAAGTTCATTTATTTCACTAATGCAACTTAAAAGGTGAAACTAATATATGAGATAGACTCATTACATGCAAAGCAAGATAGTTCAAGCCGTGATTTGTCATAATTGTGATGATTATGGCTTACAGCTCATGAAAACCCCAAATGCACAATCTTAGAAAAGTAGATTATTACATCCAATCAATAAAACAAGGATTGTACATAGAACAATATCGGACCTCTGAAAAGTATAAGCATGCATATGTACTCAGTACTTGGTTTGGGCCCCTTTTGCAGCAATTACTGCCTCAATGCGGCGTGGCATGGAAGCTATCAGCCTGTGGCACTGCTGAGGTGTTATGGAAGACCAGGATGCTTCAATAGCGGCCTTCAGCTCTTCTGCATTGTTCGGTCTCATGTCTCTCATCTTTCTCTTGGCAATGCCCCATAGATTCTCTATGGGGTTCAGGTCAGGCGAGTTTGCTGGCCAATCAAGCACAGTAATCCCACGGTCATTGAACCAGGTTTTGGTGCTTTTGGCAGTGTGGGCAGGTGCCAAGTCCTGCTGGAAAATGAAGTCAGCATCCCTATAGAGCTCGTCTGCGGAAAGAAGGATGAAGTGCTCCAAAATCTCCTGATGGACAGCTGCGTTGACCCTGGACTTAATGAAGCACAGTGGACCAACACCAGCAGATGACATGGCTCCCCAAATCAACACAGACTGTGGAAACTTCACACTGGACTTCAAGCATCTCGCAGTGTGTGCCTCTCCATTCTTCCTCCATACTCTGGGTCCTTGGTTTCCAAATGAAATGCAAAATTTGCTCTCATCAGAAAAGAGGACTTTGGACCACTGAGCAGCAGACCAGGTCTGTTTTTCTTTAGCCCAGGTAAGACGCTTCTGACGTTGTATGTTGTTAAGGAGTGGCTTGACAGGAGGAATTATGTTGAATTATGTTGCTATTCATTCTGAATAACACCCCAGCACACATTGGAAACGCACCACATTTCACATGCGTTACAGTGCACCACAACACAAAAATTTAGATGCCTTTCAGAAAATGGTGCTTGTCCAGTTTTAGGTGTGTTGGGGTGTGTTGGCAGCCCATTCAAAATAAACAAGTTTGCTTTAATGCAGTGTGCATTTACATGCGGAATATGGCATTTTGCTAAGGCCGCTAGCAGAGTGCCTCCAGCAACTGAGCATCAGTTCTGAGTTTGCTCTGGAGCCTAAACATACCTCCAGCTTCAGTAGCTCTGGTTTCATGGCTACTTTAACCCTTCTATAACCAGATATTTTTGCAGCTTAAATGCCCAGACCAAGTGTCAGTATGCATCAGTTACCTTGACGTTTTAACTTATGTTTAAGGTTCACATCAGGCCTGAGAACTAGGAACACGCACGGCTGCACATTTCTAGTTCTCTGCTGCAATATTAAGTAATGTTCTTACACCAAGGGGCATTTTCGTAAAAAAGGCACATAGCAGTCACAAAGGATTTAAAGCAGCTCCTCTGTACTACAACTACTACACCTACCTATCCTGAGTTTTAGGTGTTTGGCCACTAATGGTCTAGAAGAGAAAGTAACAAGCACACTGCAAGGAAGGAAGGGGTAGAAATGTATTTGTGGTCATACACAGAACGAATTTCAACCATTTCTTGCTGAATTGGAGTGTGTGGCCCTGCTGTTAACGGCGGTCCTGACAAAAGTCAGTTTTTCATTCTAATCAGTAGACTGCGGGTAGATTGTGACCAACCTTTTTGTGGTATCTTTAAAGGGTACATGGTTAGCAAGACTGGCTGAAAAGAATTACTAACCATTTGGCAGTTAAATACCATAGGAGGAATTTATTAAAACTGGAGCAGAAACAATCTGGAGTACTTGCTCATAATAACCAATCAGCTTCTCTCTTCAGTTTGTTCAGTTCTCATAACCCCCCATGTATTTCAAGTGGGTCATTTAGCTGAAGTTAAGCTTTAAAAGCTGAGTAAAGCGAGGTGTGTACTTTTAGCTAAGGGAAAGGAGGAAGCAGGATTGGACTACAAATGTCACCAGACCTGTACTTCACCAAGAACCCGTCTGTCACCATGGCAGAGGGACTAGTAGTCTCCCCATATGAACCATGTGAATAGATGACATGGTTGTGCAGGTAGACGCATGCACAGTGGTGCCGAATTCATATTGTGATTGGAGCCTGCATGGAGAAGAACCCTTCATATTTAGGTAAGTGCATGGCAGCGAGATGGGGTGAGGGGTTGCTATGTGACCATGTTTTATCCTAAATATGGGTGTAACATGAAATATGGTCTTTAAAGCTATGGATCCAGATCCTTACGACTCTAGTCGTGTTTATAAAATTTACTAATAAATATTCATTATACAATTATGTGAAACATATTACTGCAAAATGTTAAATGGCAGCAAATTGTACATTCCACCAATATTCTTAATGTGTTATTAGATGGTATTTAGAAACCAAAAATAAACTTTTTTTTCCCGACAAATGACAATTTCTTTTCAGACACAAAGCTCTGAAGACCTATAATTTATGCATAAAAAGAACTGAAGAGGCTATGTAATAAATTGCAATTGTCCCATTGTGTCTGTACTTCTTGGTATTTTACTGATTTATTTTAGGACCCAAATGTTGATTAAAACCAGTTTGCTTCAAAGCAGACTTTACAGTTTGCAAAACAAGCTAATTACAGGGATTGGATTTAAATATACATAGAGAGAGGCCAGGAAAGAATGGAGCTAGGAAAAATCTGAGAGGGAGACAGAAGGGTTTAAGGGAAAATAGGATGGGGACACAGGATGATCTGAAGGCACACATGTTAAATATAGTTACTTTTAAAACAAAAAAGAAGTTGAGAGAAGAACATGGAGAGGAGATTGGATTGTGGGAGAGAAGGAGAATTAAAGTGACACATTCAGGAGTTAAATCTTAAAAATGCATTTAATAAGGTCTGGTACTGTTAACAGTTAAGGTACTTGAATGCAATTTTAAGATTTAACTCCTGAGTTTAGTTTAACTTTAATTCTCCTTCTCTCCCAAAGGAAGACAAAAGGATCAATTTACACAGCTAAGACACTGAGATAAGGATCCTTACTTTCAACAAAAAGTGACACTCCTAGTCAGAGAACTCCAATGAGATCTACAAAATGACACATGGCTGAAATAAAAATCTAAAGCTTTGTGAATTGAGCCTAGAATGAGGCAGCTAGGAAGTGAGTGAAGAGAGGAGGGGAAAGAAGAGAGAGGGTAGGTAACAGAAGGAGGGGAGAAGATGAAGGAGGGAGGGGGGGGTTTGTCCTTAGTGACTCTGAGGTGGGTTTATCGAGGATCACCAGACAGTTTTCCCACTAAGCAATTGGACGCATGCTGTCTGCTACCTGTGATTATGTCAGGGTCACCAACAGTTAACTCCTAAGTATTCCAGACACATCGGTGCCCTGACATTTCAGGACTTGAGTTGCTGGATCACATTGCCTGTGCGGAGACATCATGTATGTATCGGTGCCCTGCTGTTCCTGTTGGCATGTTCTTCTGTGCCTGCTGTGTGCCCTGCTGCTGATGGACAAAGGGTGCTGCACATGGACCCCTGGCACCAACTACAGATATCCTCAAGTCAAAGCCAGGGAGCCCCTCTCTTCCCTCAGAAGGTAAGCCGCTCATCTGCTGTGCTTGCACTTTTCATTGCTCAGACTAGCTATTGAGCAGATGTGTAAAGTCACTGGGTGATATTTGTAAATAAAAGTGAAGGAAAAGAAAAAGATGTGACCAATCAGAACGGTCATTTTCCTCCAAAGGGATAAAAGTGAAAGAGTATGGATCTCTCGTGTGTGTCTCTGTTTTACCTTCTGCAGCTAGAATACAAATATGTATGTAGAATGATATCCAATGTATATGCAATGCGGAGCACAGCTGGTCTTGATTTATTAGACATTCTCATGTACAGAAATTGGGGAGGATGGTAGAGGTGTGACATGAACTGTGCACAGGTGTCAATGGCTGGCTGCTTTCTTTTCCTGATCCCTGAGAATGTTCATTGTACCATTGAGTCCCCGTTCACACTTTCACATTGCGCTCCGGTGTGCGTTCACGCAACATGTCAAAAACTTACAATGTTCTTGCGGTGCCATTAGTCCCTGTTCACACCCTGGCGTTTTGACGCTCAAAGCTAAGTGCAACAAAACAGAAGAAATCCCATTCGTTTCTATGGTCCCTGTTCACACCTAAGAGTTTTGTTGCCAGCTGTAAAACGCTGAATGCTGGAAAAGGTACAGGAGCTTCTTTTGGGCAGATTACAGCGTGCTTAGCCACATAGACTTCAGTGGAAACACACGGAAACATGCGACACAAACGATTTGCGCATTCACAGCAATGCATTTCAATCTGCTCAATAAAACGTGTGTCTTTTTTATGCGCGTCTAATGTGCATAAAATGTGCAAAGCGCGCACAAATGTGCAATCCACGCGAAGGAAAGACGTGCATAAAACACACGGAAACGCTGACACCTAGGTGTGAGTGGAGATTTACTTGTTAATGGCACCCCAGACACACTTTTGCCCACGCGTCAAACGCTTACAAACGCATGGTAAAAAAAATGCAGGAGGCTTGAAACTGAAAAAGCTGCATGAGGTTTTTTGCCACGTTTGTCACGCATTCAGCAGCCCATTGAAATGAATGGGCTGACATGCGGCAATGGTGTTTAAATCATGTGAACACATGCGAATGGGACGCGCGTTCACGCATCACAAAAGTTTGAAGGGCCTTAAAGCTGGACTCCAGGAAAAGAAAATATTATCTAAATTCAAGAGGCATGAGCGGAATTTATCAAAACTGGAGCAGACCGAATCTGGAGCAGTTGCCCATGGCAACCAATGAGCTTCTCTCTTCAGTTTGCTCAGGTAAGATTTGAAAATGAGACAGATAAGCTGATTGGTTGCAGTGCAAATCTGCTCCAGATTTTGTCTGCTCCAGTTTTGATAAATTCCCTCCTCGTGTATTCCTGAATATTGGGGGTTCATTTAGAAAGGCCCTTGTTCACATCTTGGCGTTTTGTCACTCAAAGGTAAGTATGACAAAACGCTCAAGACAAGGAATCCCATTCATTTCTATGGCCCCTGTTCACACCTGAGCATCTTGTTGCACGTTTTGTCACCTGACGTTTTTCCCATTGAAGGCTATGTCAGGTGTTTTTCTGCTCGTGAACAAACACTCAGGTGTGACCAGGGGGCCATGGAAATGAATGGGATTCCTTGTCTTGAGCACTTTGTCACGCTTAGCTTTAATCAACAAAACACCAAGGTGTGAACAGAAGCTTTGTGTATTTCTCCCAGATCTGTGCAGTAATCCAGTTTCAAACTTTGCCTCTGTAGGTACAGGAGCTTCCTGTAATAAAGAGTGGTCACTGCTGCTCTCTCTCCTTGTGCAGGGTGACGGGTCTTGTATCCACCCCCTCCTGTAGTTGCCTGCAGGCAGCCTGTAGAGGGTGGAGCCTGTTGGGTCACTCCCACAGCTCTGCTCTCTGTACAGGCTATGCACAGCACAGTTAATATGAGGAATTTTTGCGCATGCAAAGTGGTTTTATATTCTCTGTGGTTATTGAAAAGTATATTTAAATAAAAAGTTTGTGTCTGTGGAGTTCAGCTTTAAGTATAAAAAGATACAGTGTCTACATGCAGAAACACAGCGGTGCTTGATTTAGATTTAGATCTGTTCTAGATTTATTAGACATTCTGATGGGGTGATATTAGGGAGAATGTCAGAAGTGTGACCTGAACTCTGCACAAGTGTGAACGCCTGGACCGCTGCTTTCCGTGATACCTGGGATGTGTCATTGTGCCATTTAAAGAGAACATGTTAGTGCAGAAATATGGGATCCGCCATTCGTGACTACTTTTTAAAGGTGCGGGCTGGGCATATGTTGTCACCATCCTTGCTTTGCTACCTAAAGTTATATTTCCCATAGTGACCAGTGCTGCGCGCAATGAGGCTAGAGACAGCAGCACCTTGCTTCAACATTTCCAAATTGTAATAACTTTCTTCTTGGCCCATTCACACCTGATGATTGGTCTGTGCTGAGCAGCTTTGCCTGACCCAGTCCTAATGCATAGACAAGTAGAATTGGGTTGCTGTGGTGTGCGGTGAGTGCACTGGTGACGCAGTGCATCTCATCGCAATGTGTAGGGGTAAATAGAGATAAGGGTTAGTGGCGTGCTTGTGCGACAACTGCCGAATGGGCCGGTGTGCACACGGGCACACTGCCCGTTCAGCATTGCAGTCATCGGAAGCCCGCCCCTCAGCGGGGCAGGCTTGCGATGATCGCAAGTATGATCTGCCTGCCCATGATGGGCAGATCGTACGTTTTTTAAATTACTTTACAACCCTCGCAAGACAAAAGTCTGGGGGCAGCAGGAGAGGGGTATTAAAGATTTTCTTTTTGCAACAGTCCATTTAAAATAAAATTTCAGGTTGTGACTACAAAATAAAGACTGGAATGTGATTCAGTGTCATTGATGAATTCACTGTTCACATTGTTTTAAAAAAATTTTTTTAGCATGAAAAAATATGTTCCTGCTTGTCCACCCCTCTGGCTGCCTGGGAGTTTAACAGATGTAGTTATATTTAAAGGTTATTTTAGGATTAAGAAATTGTAATACGTTCAGGCAAGATAGGGCCCCTTCTATGCTCTAATATGTTGTAACCCTTGCACCACCGGATATTGACTGCTGACATAGGAAGAAGTTCAGCTGCAGAGTCCCTCTTTTTGGTGGAGTCATTCATGGTTGACATTCTAATAAGCTTTTATAGCAACAACCATGATACCATTTATTGTAAAGGTGCCCATACACTGTACGATTATCGTACGATAATCGCGGGAAATCCCACGATCATACGATAATCGCAAAGTGTATGGAAGGCGAGCGGCCGTTTCTACTGTACGGTCGCACGTCTTCCATCGAACAAGCAGGCTGGAAAACCCGCTGAGAATCGTACGACTCTCGGCGGGTTAGTAGCGTGCTTGTTCGACAACTGCCGAACGGGCCGGTGTGCGCACGTGCACACTGCCTGGTAAGCATTGCAGTCATAGGAAGCCCGCCGCCTTAGTGGGGCGGGCTTGCGATGATCGCAAGTACGATCTGCCTGTCCAAGATGGGCAGATCGTACGTTTTTTAAATAAGTTTACAACCCTCGCAAGACAGAAGTCTTGCGAGGGTTGTAAAGTGTATGGCCACCTTAATACATGCCGGCAAGATAGGGCGGGCCCCTTGTAGTTGATGTCTGTGAAGGTTCTCATTCATCCAGGTCATGGTATATCTGTAAAAAAATAAGTCAAGGCAACTGGACTTGCTGTATTTATCTTGAAGACGTTTCACTGGCCATCCAACCGGCTTTCTCAATTCAGAATGACTTGTATAAAAAATTATCTGGAAATAAATATGGTGAGTGTTAAGTTGCCCACACACCTTGCGATAATCGTACGATAATCACGGCAAATCCCGCAATCGTACGATTATCGTAAGGTGTGTGGAAGTCGTGCGACCTCTACTACTGTAAGGTCGCACGACTTTTATCTTAGGAACATGTTCGAAAACCCGCCGAGAATCGCACGATTTTTGGTGGGTGTGTAGCATGTTCGTAGGATAAAATCTGGACAGGCCGGTGTGTGCAAGCGCACACTGCCCGTTCGGCATTGCGTTGATCGGAAGCTCGCCCCTCAGCGGGGCGGGCTTGCGATCATCGCAAGTACGATCTGCCTGTCCAAGATGGGCAGATCGTACGTTTTTTTTAATTACCTTACAACCATTGCAAGACAAAAGTCTTGCGATGGTTGTAAGGTGTGTGCCCAGAATTACTCCAATCCACATAATCTGTTAGTCACAACCAGGTGTTGATTTCATTTGCATAATTGGAGTCTAGGAGGTGTTATTAACCTGCCCAGAGAGAGGTGTTAAAACATCATTGTATGTGGCAGACAATAGATGTCTCATCCCCCCACTTCAATTGTAGTTGATGCTCTAAAACAGGGGTAGCCAAACTGCGGCCCTCTAGCCTTGGTGAAACTACAAATACTATCATTCATTTGTCTCAGTAGGCCATACCTGTGGCTGCCAGAGTCGTGCAATGCCTAATGGGACTTGTAGTTTCATCACAGCTGAAGGGCCGCAGTTTAACTACCCATGCTCTAAAATGTTCTAATCCTTGCACCTCCAAAGACTATGGCTCTTCTTGTGGCATGGGCATATATGGGCTGCTGACATGGGAAACAGTTTAGCTGCAGAGTCCGCCTGTTTGTAGGGCTGGGTTTTAGGGGGGTCAGTCAGGGATGACATCCTAATAAGCTTTGAGACGTGTTTACACCATCTCCGTTGAGCTGCGTTTTTCTGAACACCACTGCACATGTATGGTGTGCGCAATTGTTTTCCCTGTGTCAAATTCCAACTAGAAATGTGCAATGGTGTGCAGAAAACTGCAGCTCAGTGCTCATGGTGTAAACAAGCCTAAGCTCTAATATGTTGTAACCCTTGCACCACCAGATATTGACAGCTTATATAGGAAGAAGTTCAGCTGCAGAATGCCTCTTTTTAGGGGGGTGGGGACTGGGGGTCATTCATGGTTGACATTCTAATAAGCTTTTAGAGTAACAACCATTAT